GGACAGGGTTTAGTGGTGGACTTGGCAGTGCCGGGCTAACGGTTGGCCTCAGGGATCTTAAGGGTCTTTTCCAACCTAAACAATCCTGTGATTCTGTTCTGTGATTCTATGGAAGACATCAAAAACTGGGACACCAGGGTGTAAAAGGATGTTTTAAAAGTATGCTTTAAATCAAGGCATGGCTACCTGATTCCAGTGGCAACTATCCATTTTTAAGTAGCTCCCCCAGGAGCAAGCCCCAGTGATGGCTCCTGCAGCTCAGGTCCTCCCCTCTCCCGTCACACAGGTGGTCTTTCTGGAGAAGCGGGTGACAGAGCTGGAGAAGGACACGGCTGCTAACGGCGAGCAGCACAGCCGCCTCAAGCAGGAAAACCTGCAGCTCGTGCACAGGTAAGGGAGCCCGGCTTGTGCCACGGCCAAAACGCAGCTTGGCATCGCTTGCGGTGCCTTTCCTTCCCCCCTGCAGCACCCTGTGGCCGGCTGCCTGGGGTGTGTGGGGAAAGGAGGCAGCAGGAGGGGGGAGACAGACAGAAAATAGCAGGAAAACGTCACAGCTTTGCCCTTAACGATCCGATCCCACCCTGGCAGAGGGCACCCGTGGTTAAATCCAGTGGGGGTTCGGGCTGCCTTCTCTGCATGAGGGCTGGGTGTGGGATTGCAGCAGCATCCTGCGTGGGCTTTTCTGGATGTCTGGCGAATTCCCAGGAGCGCAGGAAACAGCTTGCAGCTCAGCCAGGACAAATGGCAGATACCTCCTTTGCAGTGTTCTGCTCAGATACATGTAACTGTAACAGTGCTTTTTAGATTTTTTTTTTTTTAATATCTTTTTTTATGTGCTTCCCTGCCCCACATGTCCATTCTGAAAGGTCTCCCGAGCTCCAGGGGTTGGCTCAGAGACTGCAGGGGGTTATGCTTCTTGGAAAACTTCCCATTCAGGGAGGATATATGCTTCACACTCGCTCTGTATGGACTCTTTGTGGCCCTTCTTTCACCCGTGAGGTCTGGGTGGAAGGTACAGCAGGGTCCCTACTACTCATCTCTAGCCTTCCCACAGCCAGCCTTGATCTTGTTGCTTTCGGGTCCTGGCTGGGGTGTAGCCCTTTGGATCCCATTTGAGGTAATTGCTGTCTTTACTAATCTGGCAGGCTTCTCTCTTCCAGCAGCATATTTACCCTCAGCAGATAAACCCGGTAGGAGTTTATCTATAGGGCTGTAAGACTGTTAAGTAACACTTGTGTCAGGGAACAGAGCGATTCAAACAAAGGTTCCTCTAAGCCCTGATAAACTTTGCAGCGAGGGAAATGTTTTCACTTCAGCAGCTTGGCCCAGAAGTGTCAGTCAGCTTTTAATCAAGTAAAGCCCCAAGTGTACTCGTTGCTGGCTGAAGAATAGGTTCATCTGGCAAAAGCCTCCTCACCTGCACGTGCATAAACTCCAGCACACCAGCCTCGTAGCGATCCTCAGGTCTCAGGCTGCTGCTGGGGCTGGGTGGTTTGCTGCAGCGCAGGGGCATGGGCTGCCTCTGCCCGCTTCAGAGGGCGGGTGAGCGTGCTGGCAAGCGCCTCTGCCCAGTCTGAGCAAACACGGCCACTGCCCGCACTCGTGCGGTCTCAGGACCACGTGGAAATCGCTGTTACGCTGGCACACAGGGAGAGTCGACCTGCAGATCCCGTATTTTTTATTGGGCACATGAGAGAGTGAAAAGGAGGACTGGGGCTGCTGTCGTCTTTTCTCCGGGCAGCGGGACTCCTTCAGGGCAGAGTAAAGGAGCCCGAAATGCTAGAAATGGCTGCAGGAGGATTTCTCTGCCATGGCCACTACAGGTGAAACCACAACCCTGGGATTTACAGTTGGATTTGATCTTAAAGGTCTTTTCCAACCTAACTATGATTCTGTGAGATTCCAATTCAGTAACTTGTTCTGGGTGATGCTGTGGCTGTGGGTTATAAAATGATTACCCCCGCCTCTCCCCCTCATCAGCCTCCCCCTTAGAGAGGGTTTTGATGCAGCCTGGAGACTTACAAAACTAGACAGAGACAACACCAGCTTGTACCACCTGGTTTATTTTATTTGACTCTCATCTTGGTCAGCAGTAGAGTACTGGGAGGTGTCATGGACCATGTTGATTTCCCACTGCTTCTGCTGGGACGAGGTGAAGCCCTCATACACCTGCAGCTTGAGATGGCAGTAGGTGTGCTTGCCCTGAAAGCTCGCTCTATTTTACAGTCTGCTTCTCCCAGTTCTCCTGTGCGGTGGGAGAAAGTCTGGGAAGAGAGTCTGATTTCCCCCCGCTTGGGATGGCAGCATGCCGGGGCTGAGCCGTTGGGAACTGCTAATCCTCTCTCTCTCCTCTCCGCAGAGCAAATGCTCTCGAGGAACAGCTGAAGGAGCAGGAGCTGAGAGCTGACCAAACACTCCTGGAGGAGATCAAGAAGCAGAGGGAGCTGCTGAGCAAAATGGAGAGGGAGAAGAGCATTGAGATTGAGAACTTGCAGGCCAGGTGGGACTGGGGCAGGGCTGGGTGGGGACAGGTCTCCTGGACCCACGTGTGGACGGTGGAATACGCGTGCAGGCTGCCGCTTTGCGACTGCAGCCTTTGGGGAGACAAAGTGCGGTAGACAGCGAGTTTAACTTGTTAAAGGTGTAACAAATGATTATAAACCCTGAGCTTTGGCTGTTTCTCCTACCTTCATTCCAAAATCAAGCCCCTCCGTGAACCTAGTCTCAGACTTGATTTGAATTTCCCTGATGCCGTTATTGAGCTCACGATCTCTGTCCGTGTGCCTGCCCCGCAGTGTGGGAATGAAGAGGTGGTTTGTTAGCACTTGTTCCCACGAGTGACCCATGGAGGTACGTTTGATGCTCAGATGTTTTCCACCTTCATGGAAACAGGCAAATACCTGGGGGGGAAGAGTTGTCCAACAGGCTATGTCCCGGACAGGGTGCTTCATGCTGCCTGTCGGCTTCCAAAGGAAAAAGTGATGTGGGAGAGGTTTTGTTTAATTGACAGGTGTTTTGCTGCTTTTCCAGAATGTGTTTTGCAATTTTTCAACCCTTGCAGCAAATGAAAGATGAAGGAAGTGGGGTGGTAGTATGACAGTTACCATGGCAAATTGAGTGTTCCTTTACCTGGAGAATGCAAAGCTGCAGCCCTCTCTGCACCCCTGCTCTGACTCTGCCCAGGCAGTGTGTCTGCTTTTTGGTGCCTAGTGCTGAGGCTCGCGCATGGACTGGTGCAGCCCTTGGCCGAAAGAACAGCGTTGGACCTGATTGAGGAGAGCATGGCACCAGACAGCGGGCTTGCCAGAAGTCATGTGGATGCCCCACTTTTTTACCCTGGGACTACAAATAGTGGAAGCCTCAGGGTTTGCTTTGAAAAGATAAATCCCTGCTGGCTTGCCCTCAGCAGATCCTGATTTAATATTCCTAGTGATGTTTCAACCTGCGCTCGGGATACTTGAGTGGGTTTTTTACGCATCTCTCTACTGTTGCAGGCTGCAGCAACTGGATGATGAGAACAGCGAGCTGAGATCCTGCGTCCCTTGTTTAAAAGCTAACATTGAAAGACTTGAGGAGGTGAGGACTGCGTGTGCTTGGGGGCCCCAGGCTGGAGCTGTGTTTTCCAGGTTCCCACCTGCTGCCTCACATGGCTGGAGCTGAAATTCTCGTTTACACAACGGGCCTGTGTGAGATCTGTTTAATGTAACGAGCAAATCAGCTGCTTCTGCCTTCCAGTCCCTGCAGACCTCGCCTCGGACCAGAGCTGTCCCCTACTGCAACCCGTGCATGTTCCCAGTGTTTCACTTGGAAGATGGGATTAACAAACCCCCAAGACCTGAAGCCACAGCGTGCAGCGGTGGCAGCCCTGTCCTGGCTGGTTAGGAGGGGACTCATGCCCTCTTGTGGAAGCTTGTCCCCATCCCTGCGGCCGCAGCCCGCAGGGGACAGTCCCCTGTAAGGGAGGAAGAGGAGCAGGCGTGCTTGATCCCCGTGGCCTGCCCGGGCAGATGTACCCTCGCTGGGATTTGCGAGTTGAATCTTCAAAGCGCCGCGTTATCTCCCAGATCCTCTCCCCTCTCGCCCTGCTCAGGATTCAAGGCTGTGGAGCTGCTGACGGGGGCTGGGGGCTTGCCGAGGCGCTGCAGTCACCATGGGATGGATGGGATCCTCGTTTTTGGAGAGAATGTGGGTTACAGATGTCCCATCTGGTACAAAGGCTGCGTTTTGGTTCTCTTCAAGCTTGTGGCAGATGTAAGATTAAAATTTAAGTGAAATCAAACCTCTCTGCCCAGCTCAAGGCCCTCAAGCATTTCATCCACTCAGTCTTTGAGCCTGCAGGAGAGCGCTGCAGCTCCTTCTCTGCCTGAGGTGGCCATGATGAAGTGGCCTTCATCTGCCAAGCCCTTGTAAGCACAGTGCAGTGAGGCCGGGGTAGGAAAACCACTGTGGGTCTGAGGATAAATTTCCTTGCTAGGTGTGTTTCAGCCATGCAAGGTTGGTCTTGATCCTTAATCTCTCTGCAGAGCAGTGCTGCTTTTCTCCACAATGAATGGGATTAATGAGGAGTGAGAGGTGCAATTGTTGCCCCTCCCTGCCAAGGAGAGAAGCCCTGCTGATGAACTGCTCTCTTGTCCAGTGCCTGAAACCAGGATTTTGTTGTCAGCGTTGTGTTTCCTGCTGGTGGGGTGCTTTTGGTGCTCTGCTCTGTGAACCAGGGCACCGCAGGCCCAGCAGCTAGAGCTCCCCCTCGGAGCTGCTCCTCACCTCTTCATGGCACGGGCCATCCAGCACTGGCATTGGCTGGGGTTTTGTGGCATTTGGGGCCTTCTGAAAGCCAAAACTTTCCCCATGGGCAGAGCCAGGCTGGAAGCTGTGAGCCTGGGGAGGGGGTGAATTGGTTGGAGGCAGAAGAGTGCTGCTGTACAGGGAAGTGTCCTGTGCAGGGCTGTTGTCATCACCAAGCAACAAGCTTTACCTGCTGTCTCAAATGTTCAGCCGAGGCTTTGAGTTGGGGACAGAGTGGGAGAGCTGGGCTGTATGTTTTACATCCTGGCTTGAACTGATCATGTTCCTCCTTGGGTCAGTCCTCAATTAAATTCTTTCATATCTGAAACTGAGACTGAGCATCCCTAGAGTAGCTTAAGATCTTGGATTCATGGCTTTTCTGCAATCCAGACCAAAGGAGCCTTATGATTTAATGTCTCTTCTTGGCCTGGAGCCCCTGTGCTGGCCCCAGTCCCACCCAAGCCATGTCCCCCGCCAGCACCACGCTGGCCAGAAAGCCGCACGGGTGCGGATATTTGCCTGTGTGCATTTATTCTGGAGTCATCTCTCATTACCTCTCTCTTAGCAGTGCTATTTTGGTATGTGACTCTTCTTGCTGCTGCCAAAGCGCTCGGGCTCTGAAGCCCTCAGACAGCAAATGAAGTCCCAGCAGGCAGAGCATCCGAATGCGTCAGCAGAGCCTTCCCCGCGGTGCTCAGCGTGCGCCCCGGCCCTGAGCGAGTGGGAAGAGCCCTGGCAGCGCCGGAGGAAGACGGGCCCTCTGACTATCGCCTCTCGTGTCGTTGCAGGAGAAGCAGAAGCTGCTGGATGAGATCGAAGACCTCACCGTGCAGCTCGCAGAGGAGCAGGAGAAAAAGAGGAAGATGGGGGACAAGCTGAGTCAGGAGAGGCACCAGTTTCAGAAGGAGAAGGAGTCGACGCAGGAGGTGAGTGAAGTCCCCCGCAGTCCTGTCCTGCTAGGCCCACCAGTTAGGGCTATGTGGGGAAGCTGGCCTTGGCAACCTCTCCAAAAATAGGTATAGCTGGAGCATTTGGCCTGCCTGGACAGAGAAAGATAGTGCAGCAGCTGAACTATGGAACTTCTGTTGCTTTTGCCTGCATTAAAATTCAGCTGGTGCATCTGCCAGCCCAGTGGGGCTGTGCCACCCTGGCCTGCTCCTGCAGGGCCTGTTTCTTTTCTGTATCGAAGGAGCAGTGGCAGAAGCACGGTGATGATGGCACATGGAGATAGCAGGCGAGAGGAGAGGGGTGCAAGGCTGCTTGGGCGAGAGCTGCCAGCTCCTGTGTGCGTGGGGGCAGAAACACAGCCCCCTCCCCAGCCCCTCCCAGGCATCTGTGGTTGGTAATTCCAGCGGGAGGCTCAAGCAGGGCTTGCTGTTGTGGTAGGAAGGGAGCTTTGGGCCTTCAAGTGGAAATTACTGTCCTTGTGGTGATGCTAAGAGCACTTGGGTGAGGTGGAGATTCACAGGCGTGAGGGAGCTGCCCGAGCAAGTGCCTGCGTTGCTGGTGGGGTCTGTCTGTTGCTGCAGCCCCAGAGCCAGCACCTTTGGTGCCCCAACAAAGTCCTTCCAGGGCTGTTCACGTGTTTGCTAGAGGTGTGGAGGAGGAAGGGGAAGCCATGTGCCCCCCCCCGCCCCGAAAGAGTCTGTTAATCCTACTGCAGCAATCCGTGGGGTTGCTTCCAGCTGGGGGACAGCCCATCTGCCATGCCAGCCGTGACCAGGGCGAGCTGCCAGACTTGCAGGGGATGCAGCACCCTCTTGTCCTCTTCCCTCGTGCTGCAGCTCATTGAGGACCTCAGGAAGCAGCTCGAGCACTTGCAACTCTTCAAACTGGAAGCTGAGCAGCGAAGAGGCCGGAGCAGCAGCATGGGGCTCCAGGAGTACAACAGCAGGACACGGGAGACAGAGCTGGAGCAAGAGATCAAGCAGCTTAAGCAGGTAGGCAGGACTGGGCAGGGAGGGAAGCGTCTTGGCTGCTTGGTCTGCAAAGGGAGATGCCAATCCCCTGACACCAAGAAGTGGTCGACGGGGCCTGGGGGCTCCCTCCCGAGGAGCTGATCACGGATCCGATGGCCCACTGCTTTCTGGGGACTGGAAAGGTTGGCTCCTTCTCCTGAAGGACAGCATGTACACTCAAGAGCCCCTCTCTCTGCTGTGTCCCTTGGATCTCCCCAGCATATCCCATATTTCCAGAGGTTCTCCAGGCTCTGCTGAGACTGTGAGCTGTTCCCAGTGCTGTGTGAGCTGCTGGTTAGGTCAAAAGCCCCTACCTTCCCCAGCCGGATCTGCTCTGAGGGCACCACGTGCTTCAACAGCATCTGGTTTGTCTGTTGTGAACAGGATAACAGGAACCTGAAGGAGCAGAACGATGAACTGAATGGACAGATCATTAACTTGAGCATCCAGGGAGCCAAGAACCTCTTCTCAGCCTCCTTCTCTGAATCCCTGGCAGCTGAGATCAGCTCAGTCTCCAGAGACGAGGTACGTGCCATGGGGTACTGCTTACCTCAAACCTCGTCTTCCCAAGGTGGCTGGTGCATCTCCTCCCCTTTCAGCCAACGGAGGGCCTGGGAGGAGCTGATGCAGCCCTGCCTGTGTACAGCTCAGTCCCAAAATTCCCTTGAAAGCTGTCGGGGGCAAAGAAATACCCACGCAAGTGGTTTAAGAGCTTGCAGGGCTTACCCTGCCTGCCAGCCCTCCTTCCTGGGAACAGGGCAAGCTGCGTTCTTCCGATGTGCTGGTACTGACAGCTCTGCTTTGCCTGCCTTGTGACAGCCTGCCTCCTCCTGGGACAGACCAGCCCACATGGAGTGCATCTGTCTGGAGCTGTCTTAAAACCCCAGAGAGCTGCAACATCTGCCCTTGAGATCTTGGCTGCTCCGGCACGTGTTCTCCCTGCGCCGTGGCTGGACCCCAGATACTATATGCGAGCCCACAGAAGCATCAGAATTAAACCTTTCCAACCCCAAGAAGTGGGGAAACACACCTAGATGTTTTGGGGGCCAAAGGGAGGTGCAGTGCTCCCTGCTCTCTTCAGGGTCCCATCTGGCTGAGACCTTGAGGAGGAACAGGAGCGAGCAGAGCCAGCAGCTAGGGGCATTTTCCCATGGCCAGGAACATCCCAGGCCAGAGTGAAAAAGGGGGGGAACCCTCCATGGGTGCGCAGAGCCACGAGAAGCCCCGCTTCTGTCCCTGGGCAGCGGCAGGCAGCGACTGCTCACTCCCTTTCTCCCTCCCTTGCAGCTCATGGAAGCAATTCAAAAGCAAGAGGAGATCAACTTCCGCCTGCAGGATTACATCGACCGCATCATCGTGGCCATCATGGAGACGAACCCCTCCATCCTGGAGGTTAAGTAAGGGCGGCCGAGAGCTGCCGCCTGCACGCTCCTCGATGGGTGTGGATTTGGTGCTCTGAGAGGATGAAGAGGGACTCGAAACGTCTTTGCTCTTGATGAAGGCACAAGGAAGCATCGCGTCGGGTCGGTGGGGGAATGAGCCAGCGGACCAGGGCTTGGCTGTCTGACTCCGTCATTTTGAAACCCTTCTGGATTTGAGGGGTGAAAGGGAACCTGGAGAAGAAACACAGGCCATGGACAGCTGGAGGAAGCTCCCTGTGAAGCTGGGAACTGTCCCGACAGCGGCATCAGACCCTCTGGGGTGCGAACAGGAGCTTACCACCGCGAGGGCTGGAAGGAGAGGGGTTCTCTGAACTGTGGAATACAGGATGGAGAAGGAAGCAGCGACGCTGATGTTTTCCCTTGCTGCCCTGTCTGGCCCAAGCATCTGCTTTGCCAAAGTGTCCCTGACACACTCACTCACTGGGGCAGATCTGGGTAAGAGGGAAACTTGATCTGGACTTGTAGAGGTGTTTGTTTGTTTGTTTTTTTAATTAACTTAATGCAAATGTCCTCATTCAGCTGGCGCAGTTAACCCTTGCCCTGCCACTCCTGCTCACGAAGGGGTTGCGTGCAGAGAGCTAGCTGGCTCCTCTCTCGCTCGCCGGTGGCAGAACGAGGCAGGGGAGCGGCTGTTTTCGGGACAGGGCGTAAGCGCACTTTGTCACCTGCCTCCTTATTTATTTTTGCTGTCCGTGGCTCACTACCGTCGGGGCACCTCAGCGTTCGCAGCTCCGCTGCCCTCCTCCCCGCTCCCGGCTCTTCTGCCGGCCACCACGGGGTCTGGGGGTGTCTGTTGAGCCGGGCTGGCTCCGGGAGGAGAGGTCCCCTTGGCCCCCGCTGCAGACACACGGGTGCTGCCCCTCCAGCCTGCTGAGGGCAAGGCTGTGACTCTTCAACTTGCACTGGAGGCTGCTCCTGGCCGCCTCTCCCCCTCCCGGCGTGGCGGTGCAGGGACACGGCGCGGTGGGGAAGCTGCAGCAGAGAGGGCTGAGCTCTCCACGTGGCCTCCTGATGTCCCTGGCCTGGGGACAGTGGCCTGTGCCATTCCCACCCGGAGCAGGGCTCTGCTGGTGATAGCTGCAGTCCTGGAGGGAGAGCCTGCTCCCCGCTCT